TTTGGGGTGGTCACCAAGCAGAGCCATCTGTAATCTCACTTTTGCAGCGCTTCCTAGGATACATCGTCCCATTCTAATAAGAGCTGCTGGAACTGTTTGCGCTAGAGCAAGGTGACTGACACTCCAAAGCATCCTGCTGACATGCTCAAATCCACTGAGGGCTTTCTCGTGAGAACCCTTACCGCAACTCCTTACCTTTTTCATAACAGTCGGTGTACCGACTTCTTCAGGTTTCAACCGTAACTGCCATCCACTGAAGTATCCGTGTTGAAGCAATTCAGCAGCACTCCACCTTCGATCAGGGCTCATTTCAAAACACTTCTAAAAAGATGGGTCATCATATGGTGATCATCAGTAAGTTATTAGAGGTTCATTACGCGACTGGGATAGTGGACTGGACGTGAAGCGTTATTTCCCAGTGAAAGCATAGCGGTACGAGTTGACTTGGGGGATATAGTCGACGAGCAGCGCCATCTCGACATGGCAGTGGCGCTGCGCGTCGACTATATTTCTCATGACAACTCGTACTTCACGTCGCGACTGGGAAGCAGTATCACTGCACCTGTTTTGGTGTACTTCCTAGTCTCTCTCTTCACTATCGAACATTGAGCTTCTTTCAGATGCTCACGTAGACATTCTACTGTAAATGTGTCTTCAATGTTTAAGGACTCACATATAGAAAATCGAGTTGAACACTTGTGGCATTCGGTAACCGTAACGGCAGAGGTTCCTGTTGATCAGGTTCCGGTATGGAAAGCCCAAAGAAGAATTGATTGGATCGAAATGCAGACATATGTCGAGGTAAGAGTTCACCTGCAAAATACACATAATGAAAAGGGCAGAGGTCAGGGTAAGTCGTACGTTGGGCATCCCCAGCGAGGAGAATCGTGTTTGGTCGCAGGAGGAGGGGAGATCGTACCTACGGTTGGGAAAATGTTCTTCGGTTACTGACTTTTCTCAGTTTTTTCCCTTTCAGTTGGTGAGCTCCATACCTCCGCCCCCGGTCGGTGGCAGGTTTTTCGGAACAAAACTGGAGAATTTAAGGAGAAAATAACAAAACTAGAGAATAAAGAAAAAAAAACATCGGAAAAGTGTAAGGAAGGTGGCGGGCTTCAGGAGCGTGGTAGATAGTATGGGGGACGGGAAAAGGGGTCTTATTAGAGAAGGAAACCCTGAGTGGGGATCGTATCTTGCAAAATTCCCCCACGACGAGGAACGTGCCAAAAGAGATGGTGCGTCAGCGTACCCAATGGGTCTTCCTAATCAGGTAGAGTTGATCGATGTCGCTCCTCCCAGGCCACAACGCTTCACCGGTGATCAGCTCCGCTAATACGCAACCGACAGCCCATATGTCGACCGGGGGACCATAAACGGTGTCGCCAACGAGAAGCTCTGAAAATGGATCGGACTGTGAAAAGAAGAGGATAAAGGAGTAGGATCTAATAAAGGGCAGATGGAGACATTCGTTTAGTATGCGGTTAAGGAACCATATGGCAGCGATGAATTGCTCCACTGCTCACAGGTATCGGTTGGGAGATTCAGCGCGAACGCCGCTAATCCATCTGCCTAGGAGGCTCGACATACTGTAGCCTTCACTGAAACCATGATGCGTAATGAACGCCGCGTGTGACGCCGCCGCTGCAAGTCGGCTATCGCTGGATCTGCCTCATCGGATCTCGTAGCCTACACTCAATGCCATCCTTCTAGGCCCTGCTTTCCCTTCCACTCACAATCGTGGCCAGTAATCAACTGGTGACTTTGGAGTGAAACCTCTGCCCGAATGAAATGTTGCACAATTTTCAATCAGACATTGATTTATTACAAACAACAAAAAGCCATCACTCCACAAAAAAATGAAAGTTGGGGTTCCGTGGAATGGGTGCTGCACGCAGATGTCTGTCGATCATGGCGTTTTGCAAAACTTCCAGCTTTCTTATGGTCCGTTGTCGCATTAGACGGCTTGGACAAAACTCGTTTGAGGCTTTCAACTCTTCATCGTGTTTTGGACGCCCTGGCACCCCTGTCTATCGCTACACACAACAACATTTATCGCGAGAGCGTTCATCCATGGACCACGGATGTTTCACCGGGCGAGGCGGTTTCTGCAATCCCACTTCTACAGAGCGGAGTCTTCTCCTTCTTTTTCTTTAGTTCGTAGTTCGTCCCCTGAGGACCAGCTTGAAACGGACCCCACGCTCACAGAGGCAATGTCGTATGAATTTCCTTCGTTGCCGGTGGTTCGTGGCTATCGCGGAGATTGTTCCTTTTCTGCGGCTTCATAATAAGGCGGATAGGGAGCTGCGGTTCGTGAATAACTTCTAGTTTATACAGGGGGGGGGGGCAAAAAAAGACATTTCGACCGAGTCACATATCAGCAGTTTTCGCTGCCCAGAGAGAAGACGTGGATACGAGTACCAGGGCGAAAGATACCCAAGATGTTCCTCGATAAGCAGGAGCTGGCTCTCGCCCATCGCCTTCATGTACACCAAAATATGAAGTCATCTCCAGCCGCAACCTGACTGGGGAAGGCCTTCGGAATTCATGTCACCTCCGAACAGCTGCGAAACTTCTAGTATGGAGCACCCACAAATAGCTACCTGGAGAGCAGTACTCTCGATCTGGAAGACCTCCATCATCGAGCAGCTCCGTCAACGTCGCTACGGTCTAGGACATCATCTTCACCTCAGTCGCCAAGGCGCCAGTTGATGGTGGGGACCGGACGTACCTGGAATGGAGAGACCGATATTTTCTTCGTGGGCCCCGGACTAAAGGTGAGCGCTGGCGGTTACATCGAGCAACTCGAGAAGAATATCCTCTCCACATGTCGTCGCCCGTACCTTCTTGGAAACTTTGTACTGCACATGATTGTACACTCCTCCAATTAAACCGGTTCGGGCGAGTTACAAACAGGGTGGTCTACAGTGGCGGAGAATCAACGATCTCGCTGAACTCACGCACCCACTGACGGTCGCGTGGCAGAATCTCTCGATGGCGCTCCTCCAGAAGGCTGTGGCGGAGTATCATGATAGTATTTATATGCTCTTTAATATGGTGGTAGAAATGTCCTAAGAATTTAATAAAAGCGTAACTTATAGCGCTCTCGAAAAGTCGAGGAAGATGAAAAAAGTCTTTCCCCCCCCCCCTGCATACGGTATAACCGGGCGCAGTTCGGCGACGGAGGGGCATTGTGCACTTTAGCTGCTTCACTGGTTCCGATTTACAAGTCTCACTCTGGTGAAATCTGTGAACTCTTGTGAGGCTGGAGCAAGCTCGTCGAGCCACCATGTAAAACCTGTCAACTCATGTGAAGCTCATGAAATAGCTCTCTATGAACGCCGATAGGAAGCAACAAAAGTGCAAAATGCCCCTCACCCGCCGAACTGCGCTCCGTATGCTATACTGTATAGTTACAAATTACTTTCACAAATAACAGTGCCTTACAGCTCAGAGAATAGGATAGTAAAACTTTATCCCGCGGCCAAGTTCACTTTGGTTAGGCATTTGCTGGTCCCGTCGAATCTCTGCGATATCTCCCATGAACAACTGCACATTCCTGTCGAGCTATACAATTGCAGGAGCTTCGTTTACATTTGACAAGAGCCTACAGGTCTCACCAACTGAAAGGAACTAGCAAAAAAATAAACTAGCGAAAGACAACATTAGCCCCCTCGATGCCGAACAGCGTCGTTTATCCTCACCATAACTCTATGAACTAATCCAATCCTGTCGAGTAAGACAATAAATCAAACCAGTTAATTCGAGAGTAGTTGATTCGCACTTTTGGCACTGTCCCATATCAACGATATTGCTATTGCCTAGCCGCAAGTGCACCGGCTACACAGGCTTCAGTCACGAGAGTTGGGGTCCAGAAGTACTATGCGAAGCCTCTGCTCACGTCATTCAACACGTCATTCAATTGGATTAGCGCAACAACTCCATAAATTAAATTATTCATCAATATTTCATTGAGAGAACCATTTCTGAATTCTGCTGGTTTTTGATAGAACATTATACCTGACAATAGCAAAAAAAATGTGAGCCATTATTGAGAGGCCTTCCCCACAATTCAGTTAATACTCTTGATATTACAGTAGGGCGCACTTTGGCTTAATGGGGGCATTTTGATGATTCCCAGCGGTCACGTGCGATACCTCCTGTGGACACCTTAAAGTCCTGTAAGCTATAGCTACACAGAAATTCACAGTTCTTTGTACGAGCTTTGGCAAGAATTTACAGGTCTCGCCAAGGTGACACGTGTGAACCAATATGAACTGAATAAAAGAAACTAGCAAAAGTGGATGCCCCTCCCAAGCCGAACAATGCGTGCAGTACTATAGAGAAGATACTTGGAATCCATATGCAAAGCAGTAAGAAGCATATGGCTCTATTCGTCTACTAGACTTTAGACTCACCAGGACTTCGATACCATCGCGTTGCTACGTAATCGGTGTACATTTCTTGAGGATCTGAAAACCACATAGAATCCTTGCAGTAACCTTTTCTCGAAGAATTTAATTGCCCGGGAGGGCTAAATGGAACCACAGGGATAAAAAGGAGTCGGCATCAATGATTTAATGGAGTTATCGGTGAAAAGAGTGTCATATTGGAGTGGAATAATTGGGATAAACACCACGTAATGGAATGAAAATGGAACTCACTGATTATCCTAGCGAAACCGAAATCAGCCAATTTGACTACGTCATTCTTGGTGAGGAGGATGTTCTCCGGTTTCACATCTCTGAAAGTAATCGAAACGGAATTCCAGCTGTAAAAGGGGGGGGGGGGTTAGACTAAGTGTTAGGACCGGAATTTTCGCAAAACTACAGTAGCGCCTGCTGCTGTACGGGGCCCGCTTACCGTACTCCGCATATAAGAATTTCGAGTGGCCTTATTTTGAGGGGTTGGCGTTCGTCTGGACACGAAGAGGTTAATCGGAGTTTATTAGATTGTGAAGGAAGATTTTATACAAAATGTTTTGGGTGCGCTGTTGTTAAGACCTCGTTGCCGAATATGTACGCGCAGGGCCAAATAGTTTGTACGAGATCAGCTTGCGCGATGCTTACCGTGCGCACTTCATCAGAAGCTTAAGCTTACAGCTTACGACATACAGGAGGAAATACTGTGTGCTTCCGAAACCGTAGACATTTCCAACTGACGGTGTTGACTGGTCCACTAAAATTTGACGATGCAGTCCTACATAGGGTTCTCAGTTTGACAAGACCTTAATTGTCAAACGTACATTTCACGCCAGCGAAGTCAGTCGTCTCGCGTTTCGGTCATTGCGCGCGATTGAAGTGGATTCCTTTCAGATGATATTGACAATTAAGTTCTTCTATTACAGAAGAACTTAATTGTCAATATCATCTGACAGGAATCCACATTCAATCGCGCGCAATGACCGCGACGCGAGACGACTGATAGCTGGCGTGAAATGTACGTTTGACAATTAGTTCTTCTCTCAGTGTCATGGGGTCGAGCAGTTCCTAGCTTGTTGCTTCGAAAACTAGATTAACTCCTGAAAAAAGTAAAAGTACACGGTTACATCACCGTTAATATC